TCTTATATCATTCATCAAAATCATTGTAATTAAACGAGAAACAATCAAACAGCTCATCCGAAAGTAGTTTTACAAACTTATACTAGAAAAAAATATGCCTAGCAGATTTATTATAACGATTAGTATTTCATCTCAAGAAATGGTGTGCACTGCTATGTCATTTGGAGTTGAGGTCCAGACCCGTCGATTATCATCAAGTTACCTGATAAGCTTATGAATCTGATGAAAAGAAGCATTTAGAATTTAGAAACATAAGTGTAAGAATAATAGCATGCATCAAATATATTGAATGAGATGTGAATGTCTCATTTTCTAAGACATTTTTCATCTCTGGTTTTATTTCTCATGAGATTTCTCATCTTTCTAAGTATGGCTTTTAACAATGGTAAAGGAAAATGGAATAAGTTTAATTTCTAAGAAAAATTAAGCATGCCTTCGTGATACATTTTATCCTTACCATTAAAGTCTATCACATTAATCAAGATTGCTACTAAAAAATGATGATTCATACGAACCAGGAACAGCTCCCAACACCACATAAAGTTGCTAAAAGAATGTTTGTGAGCCAAACCACATTATAAACAAAACAAATTCGAGATCATTAGTGTTGATATAATTTTTTTGAATTGGGAACCACAATTACATATCTCTTAATATTTCTCAATTGCTAATCAAACAAAATCATGTGTTACATGATTGAAATTGCTTTGTCTTATATTTAATTGATACACAGGCTAGAAAGTTGAAAGTTTTTTCTTCTTTTGTGTCTAGCTTCATGTAACTTAATATTATTTTCTCCTCATGAATGCATCTGCTTCATGTAACTTCAAACTATATTGTAATTTGTTTAGAAATATATAAACAAGTCAAACATATTTGAAGTTTCAAATCCATAGAGGTCGACAGTCTTTTTAGACATCTTTACAAAAAACTTATTGTCGACGAGATCTATCGTTTATCGATCTTGAAGCTACGCATTACAAATGGAAAACTGAATCCAAGTTTTATTGTCACGATACATTCGAATGGAATAATTAATCTATTAACTTGATGTATCAACCAACAGACTCAAAATACTCAATTGTTGTACACCTCCTGAATCCTTATAAACCAATTCAATTATTCTACTTCCGATGTGAGTCTAAGCTGTAAGTATTACCGATCTTTCCGACTTAAAAATTAGCCTAACTAGGGGTGTTATAATTTTTCTACTGAAGGGCTCGCCAAAAATCAAACCACGCTCACTTGGTAAGGTTTGATGAACTCATCAAACCCAAACATAATCCAAAAACAAAGCTATAGGCCTCTATACCATTTGTTATAACTTGATAGCTGATTCTTTAACCGAGTAGAGTACTTAGACATAAACCATGAGTCCTAAATATGATGCTTGAGCTGATATTAATAATAATATATCCATCAAGTCCTAAATAAATCAATTCAAGATTTCTCTTACTGATAGAGACTAAATTAGGGGCATTTTACGTGCTCAACATTTTGAGTACATATTTTGATTTTTGATCCTTGAACTTGTGTGATTCAAATCCTAGATGTTTCATTTCCAATATGTGGAAACCTAAATGCTCATAGCGATAGCGTTGATAAATAGTTATCAGCATCCGATTGTGAATCAACAGACATTCAAGAATGGAAAGAAGAAAACTAAAGTGTTGCTCACGAATAGCTAACTATTACGAAGAATAATAGACTTAGTTATAGAGGGAATTGAAGTATCATGAGCAAATGGCTACTAGAATTCGTAACTCCATTAGAACTAAAGATTACAAGTATATAAATTTAGCCATCAGGTACGAGTATTATAACACGCCCATCTAAGCCCTATAAATAGGTGAGATGTTGTAGTAAGAGAAGTTCAAGGGTAGAGACTCTTAAAAGAACAAGAAGAATAAGAAATAAATTTTCTTTTTTGTCTCTTCAATCACTCTTACTCTTATATCTCTTGCTCTTATATCGATACTAGCATAGAGATAGGGAAAAACAAGAAAGAGAGTGATACGGTATATTTTGGCAGTCTGAACACGTCACAGTCGACACAGACGTCAAGTCAGAGCCCCACGCCACACAACCCGTCCCAAGAGCTCAAGGTGGTGCTGTCTGACGCCGCACTGCACGCCCCGACGCGACGACCAGTCAGAAGGGTCGTCCCATCCCTCGGGGACCAACGGTGACGCCAAATCGATGCACCCTCAGCCCTCTCGCCAAGGTATAAAACCCCTAGTCAGCCTCCAGCCAAAGAGGGGGAAAAAAAAGAAAAAAAAGGTAATTCCACTCGTTGCTAACTTGCTCGTCGGAGGGGCCACGACCGGGTACCACCCGCGGAGGCTATTTTTGCAAGAGAGCGACCACTCATCGACGGTGAAGGACTCGGCATGGAAGTACAATCCGCCCGGCACCAAGGAGTCGTCGATCGATCCCGATCCCAACCAACGCTAACCAGCATCCCTTCCTGAGAGCTCGGGTACATCATCATCCGAATCACCTTGCAGAAAGGTCCCGACATCGACCCGTAGACCAGGCCGTGCTGACTCACCAGCCACGACGCATTTGTTCACTAACAGAGAGTACATGCTCATAGGATATCAATATTTGAAGGGATATGTATGCTAGGTGTGAGGAATTTACTTCAAATGATTCTAATAAAATTTCCTAATATTATGATTTACTGAGTGATATTTTATTATAATATATATACTCTACAAGAAAAATAAAATAGTATTAATTGAAAATAAAATAAATAAATAATTAAAAGTATGTTGTAAATCAAATTGAATTTTAACTTGAATTGACTTTTTGATCCTATAATACAATTAATTTGGCTTATGAAATGTACAACAATATGAAGCTGATATACCATAGTGAACACATTCATAGTTTTGCTGATTTAGTTTACGTTATGTGTAACCTATGGTTGATATTTGGCGAAGCATGTTGTGAACTTTGCGACGCGATGCCGCAATAATTATTGATGCATACCTATGTGAAATGACATTTATGGGAGGATGTCATTCCGAGGTTGACATAACATATCACGTTGACCATTAAATGACACGGACGAGGTGGCAACAAGAGCTTGCTAGACGAGGCAGTAGGGCCCGCCTTGAGGGCACCACCATCGCTTAATATTCATTCCATGTCAAGATCAAATCTCTGACTTTTATGCGTGTTATAGATTCTTTTCCTTCGTTTGGAAGTCAAATTTCTTATTTTATGATCACTTCCTTCGAACCAAATAAAAAAGAAAGAAAAAAAATTTCACTAGTTATGTAATCAAAGAAAGAAAAAACTCCTCGGGTTCCCTTTTCATAACCTTTCAAATATCTAATATAATTGTTCATCCAAACCCCTTATGGATCGATCTAAATCTGCCCAACTCTTCCTCATGTTTATTTGTAATATTTTTTATTACTTCAATAAAATTCCGTAAGCTTTTTTTCAAAAATACTATAAATGTGGCAAAAAAAAAACCAACTTATATATACAAAATAAAATTTTAAATAATTATTTTTATTAGCTTAAAAATATGAACAACCAAATAGAGACTTCTTATAATATATTTTTTTTTTCTAAATATACATACTTATAGTGTTTTTGATAACCAAATAGAACTTTATCAGAGCAAATGTGACTATAGAATTGATTTATCAGAGCAAAAGGACATTTAATTGATGAACAAAACTATTTGCAAACTACAACGTGGATTGTTACTTTGATCAATTGGGCATATTATTCTAACTCCAAATTTATGTGGAAGGTTATGTTAGACCACTAAAACTATATCAAAATCTTATGAATAAATATTTTATATAGCTTAGTTGGAGTGTTACAAACTTGTTATTGTAGTGGTATTATATATAACTCATAGGTTTGGAGATGATTATTGAATATGGGAAATTAAATTTTATCATGTTGGAAGAATTCTAAAAAGTTAAGTTGTAGTAATTATCACAAAGCTTGCCAATTTTCTTTGGTCGATTGACTCTAAGCTCAGGAATTACATGGTTAGTCTCTTCTTAGTCGTCTCATATATGGCATAGATTTCATTATATTTCAGCTTAGTAAGTATAGAGAGGTAAAACAATCATGTAAAACTATATCAAAATGATTATAAGAGTTATTGACACCTCTACAAAAACATCCTAAGCCTATACAAATGACTCAAAATAAGACATGTAACTTACCAACCTAGATTGAATTTCAAACATTTTTTTCTATACCAATTATAATATTTTTTAATAATAATTACAATAATATTCTAGGTCAACTATAATTATAGCATTTTTAAATATAACTACTACATAACAATGGATCTATTTATCCATGGACCGGATAAAGGTCTTTTGATATGTCTTGATATTTTGGAGACGCCACACTCATGAGTAAAAACAAAAAAGGGAGTACCAATCTAGAAGACTTTACTGAGAATTCATCCAAACTAATTTATGTTAATATTATATTATTTAACAGAGTTCAATTATATTATTATTCAATTTAGTGTATCGAGTGAAAAAGAAAAAGAAAAAAAAACACTAACTTTTTATGGACAAAGAACTACTTGATGGTCAATTTACAACATAAATATCACATCTTCCACCTTTTATTATACACTTCACTGGTGTTGGCAGATCACCACATTCTCCAACAAAATCTCATAATTAAATGATTTCAGTAGCATTGTCAGGTCATCATATTCTTCAACAAAAATTTCAAAACTAAATGGTGCCTTCTTATTCAAAATAGACCAACAATGGGAGCTTATTATGTGGATTAAGCTTTATACCACACTACTCCAATATTGGAAGTATAAATGATATTGGAAAAGATATATGTACAGCCTTACTTGTCAAGAGAACACAAGAAAATGGTACGAGATAAATCTCTCATCCAAGGATGATAGACTCCCTCAGTCTCAACAATGTGAACCAATTAAACATAGGTTAGTAAATGCTCAAAGGACAATCATTTTTCTCACCTCAAGAGTCTTGCAGAAAAATGTTATATGACTAAAATAAATCTTATAAGTACAGCAGGTAGCTGATACAGATGAATTCTACACTAGAAAGTGGCACAGCTAATTTAGTCATTCTACTTGAAGCCATCAGATTTGTTTGGGATAGTTGGAACTCTCGTAAAACATTTGTTTCTCTAAGAACTAGCATTAGGTACTGCCTTTTATGACAATGTTTCCCCCCACATATGGCACAAAAATACATAGGGCAGAAAAGAATCACTATTTGAATGCTCCCTGAGACATTTCAATCTGATGCACCTTATGTGGTCTGATATCAAATGACCACTTGGTCTGACAAGATTACTTGAAGGGTCATCACATTCAGATCAAATTAGTGACTCTACTTCAAGCTTTTGGATGGAAATCCATTAAATAAATGAAGAAGGAACTAAAAAGTGGTATGCGATGCAATAGCAGTACTGTGGTCAGCATCAACTTGAGCATGCCACCTCAACTTCACCGTTTGTTGCTTGCTCATCGATCAGGTCGTTTGACATTGCTGAAGGTATTCTATGGCGCTTGAGAATTCTGGAGGTAGCAAGCCGCGCATTCTTATAGTTTAAAACAATCACTCTCTCATCATCCAAATCTAATCTTATGCTTTCCTCGGTGCAACCTTCTATAAGCCCACACAGATGCTTTAGATTTTCAACTTCCACATCATTCACCTTCTTTACCTGATTACCATACACAACAGGAACGTTCTTCAACAGATAACGGCAAGAAACACTAAAATCGGATTCCAATTAACTCAAAGTAATACCTGAAATTCTGAAAGCCGCTCGTATCCAGCATTAATATCATCCATTAGGACCTGGAGCAAAAAGAGATATATCAGTCTCCATAGCAAAAGATCAAGGCCAGGGCCACAAAAAGATAACGAAACCATTTCCTACAAACAAGTTTGTTTAGATGCCCACAGTTTGATGATGCAGATTGAAAGGAGTCACAAGAGGATCAAGAAGTTACTTTGAAATCAGAATATCATGCCAAAGTTGGAAATGCAAGATCCTGATCATTTTGGATACAGAAAAAAGGACTGTTTGGAATCTTGATCCAGAAAAATACTGAGTACTGTTTAATTCTTTCTTCAATCACCATTTTATTCTCAGACTCCAAGATTAACGTATTTTACCAAAATAATATGTCGATGCAAGCAGCACTGGGACCTCAGCACATACTAGGAAGATGTATTATCACAGAAGTGCGATTACTTTCATCACAACTTACCAAAAAAGTTTGATGATTGTATAGTTCATGCAAAGGGAAAAACAGAAGGAAATTGTCTGTATTTTCTTGTTTTGAGGTACATGGAATGCACATCATCTTCCACCACCACTAATGTATACATTACAAATATAAGATACTTCCATTTTTATAGGAAACAATTAAGCTATGGTGCATGCTAAGAGCTCTGGACCTACATCTACGTACTGTCTTAGAAGGAATAAGATCCCTGTGGCTTATAGGACTTATGGAGATATAGGCACCTGGAACCAAAGATTAACAATCAAATTCTTGGATAGTCCAAGCAAGGACAATTAGCCATAAAATAACCGTATAATTATTCGGTCCACTGGCAGTTTTGATGTATTGCCATAGGATTTGCTTGGCTGTATATTGTCATGAAATTTTCAACAGGTTCCCTTGTGTTCAAAAGGATCACAATGTCTAACTGTGTCTGGATGGAATCTGTGCAGTAAACTTTGCAAGTAACAAAATGCTAAAAGCATACCTGAGAAAGGATGACAAGTTGTTCACCTGCCCTTTTAGGCAGTTCACGTAACGCTCGTTCACATAACCGACGTGGTGAAGTGTTATACCAGTCTTCTCCATACTCATGAAGGTAGGGCTGGGTCAATGGAACAAAAACCAGACCAGCAAATATGTAGTAGCTCGGAAGTTTATCAAACTGATGAACTGGAACTAAAGGTTGTAGCTGCATAATCACATGAGCGTACGTGTCAATTCATAATCAAAACAAATGTTCTAGACAACCAACAATAGGATTTCTAATGTGATCAAATTCAAAAGATTTCAGTAAATCTATGTTGAGTCTTTAACTTGTCTAGTCAAGTTGGTTAGATCAAACATCAAAGTGTCTTCTGTTAACATTTGTATTCTGTTCATATCTTTATTTATATATCCGAGAAGGAACTTGATTAGAAAAAAATCTATGTTAATTAGAAAACAGTTATAAAGTTACTGTAATTTTAAAGACTTTATTAGGAAAAAGTTTTCGATGTCCAAGGATTTGTATAGGTTTATTGTATTTGGCTTAAAAGGAAATAGGCTAAAGAAGAAGATGAGGTGATCGTACGAAAGGAAAGCAACATTCTAGTGCAAAAAACTAATGTGTTAGTTTATTTCCTGCATGAAAGTGTCAATACTGATGTAAATTTATATTTAACTTTGTTTTTAAGTAAATGGATAAGATATGATGAAAAGAAATGTTACTTCTTTAATCTTTAGGCTCTCTTTCTCATTAGCATTTCTTCCAACTTTCAGTCTTTATTCCTATATGTAGTTTCTAAACTTCCAATTTTCACTGTGATCTTACAAGTTTATTTATCATTTCATTATATGTGCATTGATTTATTGCATGAGATCTTAGATTTTCACCATGAACTTAGACTCAATCTTATATTTATCAAATTTAGTTGTAATAGATCAAGTTTAAGAATCCTTCAAAAGGACTACTTTTATCTACTTTGCATCTTGAAATAAATATATGCCTTTTAGTGGTATTTGCTTTATTGAGAAGTATGAATCATATACAATGAGATCCATGATAACCATGAAAAGATAAAAAGTACACAAATATACATGTATTAATGTCAAGCACAAGCTCCAAGCAACTGAACTATAATTTGATTCAGCATGATTAAATATGTCGACTCTCTGTTGTTTTTTTTTATAGAACTTAGCTTATCTAGTATTCAGTTGGTTAGATCTCATATTGTCTTCAAATTTTTTTGGTAATTCAGTTCAAATTTATATTTCTATATTAGAGGAGAGATTTGATTAGATTAAACAATATATTTTTAGAAAAAATATAAAGTTACTACAATTTTTGGGATCTCATAAGAAAAAAGTTTTGGATTCCTAGAATGTGCTTAGGTTCACAATTTGGAGTCTCAGAGAGAGTGAACATATCTGGAGATAAAATGATGCAAAGATAAAAAGGAAATAAAGGATCTGATAGGATTTACCTTAATTTTTTCCTTTCTGAAAGAATCAAATTTTATGAATTTATGTAAGTATATTGTTTTCAATTTATGAAAAATACTTCTTTAGGCTTGATGGCCTTAGATCCCTTCCTCCTCTTTTTCTCATCAGTACACTTTCCAACCAGTATACCTTAGACAATTTGCAGATTCTACCTGTTAGCTAATCTTATAAATTGTCATTTCTGCAATGTCCATTAGTTTGTTACAATGAGTGTAGTTTTGGAATATCATGACTCTCTATCAGTGTTATGTCATAACAAGGTCTACTGTTACTCAAGTCTAGACAAAGTGAAAGTAAATAAAGTTGTGTTAGGGCCATTGAGCTAATGAACAACGCATAAAATGTATTTAACATTATCAAGAGCCTATATTAAAATACATAGTCAATGGTTAAATGAAAATTAGAACTTCTAGATTACCAGTTTTGCTATAAATATTTCCATTCCACTATTGGAGATCAGCCTTAACAAAAATGACTTGGTGTAAAACTACTAGTTAAAGATGTTTGTAGTTCTTTTTCCTTCCACAAGTTTACATTTTTGTGATTGTATATCCCTTAAGGCTGGTTTAGAAATACTTTTAAGTTCATTGTCAAATTTGTCATCTAGAACAACTATAATTATTATTATGTCCTCTACACTACATGCAATGTAAAGCTGCCAATACATTACTACTGCAAAGTATACTGGTAACTGAACTCACAGGTCGAAGAGAAATGCTGAATTCCTGCTCTATGCCATCTCTCAATAGACTGAGAATAGCAGTTTCCCCAGGCTTCTTCATAGACACTAGATGATCGAAAGTTATTCTCTCCCTGTTACGGAATGGTACTGCAAAACACACATCATATCCAGTAAATTCCCATGGATCCAGACCACCCATTGCAACTAGAGACCATACTTGCATCTATCTAATTTTGTTCTAGAGAAGAAAAATGGCATGAGAATAAAGCTTGGGCTATTTGATAAGATAAAAGGCGCCAAACTTACCGCTTCCATCATTGGCTATTGGCACTCCATCAAATGCAAGAATAATATCATCTTTCTTTAGCACGTTATGAGCATCTGAAAGAGGATTAATTTTGTTAACAAGAACACCTGTCATTTCTGGTCGCATATGGAAGTGTTCCCTTAGTTGAACATTTTCAGTAGACTGGCATGATAAACCAAGGGAGCAAAATCCCACATATTTGCCTTTGTCTTCCACTCCAGCGATAAAGTGTTTTATTATTGGAACAGGAATAATGTATCTGCAAAAGATATATGGAGCAAGGATAATGATATAAACTTTTCTGTGTAAGTAATTTGAAATAGTCCTCTTAGTTTATAGAAGAACAACTTGCTCCATATTAAAGTGCAGTAAACTAGCCCTTATGTTTCTTTGGTCATAAACTTGCAGTAAACCATCTGATCAAACGACAAGAGAATTAGTAGACATTTCAGAGTGTATTAGCATAATAAATTTAATTGTTAAGAAGATAGTAGTATGAAAATTTGTTCGCACCAAGACTCACTAAAAAAGTTATCAACAAAAAAACAAATTTGTGGTACTCATTTTCATGATTAATAGGAAATGTTTTATCTTCCCTACATTTGAAGTATCTAACATCCTTCTTGCAATGGGAACAAGATGTCAAGAACAAGTTAATAGCTCAATAGAACTCACCCAATGTTTTCTGCACCTGAAAGGTTTTGAAAAGCCACTCCAGCAACCTTGTCACCCATGATTGCAGGCCCCCCACTGTTTCCTGGGTTAATAGCTGCATCAATCTGTATGGCCATGAGCTGGGCAGCACCATGAACATACTGTGTTGGTTCAACTCTAGAGACAACTCCTTTGGTAACAGAAATGTTGTCTCCACCTGCACCAAGAAGGAAGCATTTTCATCCACAACACAGATTAATGTTTTCTTAATACCCCACCCAGAAACTACATAGAGAAAGTCTAAAATTGTTTCTATGGGAACAACATGCTAGTTTTTCTTACCGTCCAAACTGTCTTAATTTACTATAGTAAAAGTGCAATAAATACAAATGCGAAGTTTGACCATTAGGTAGGAGCAATTACAACTTTATCTATTGTGAGCAGTATCAGTGAGATAGCTAAAGACCAATGATTTTACATTTAAGCAAGCTCCTTCAACCCTAGTGGATGATGGCATTTTGGTCTGTTTGATGATACAACATTGAAGTTTCTCCCACTGGAGAATTTTAGCTTTTCCCATTTATAAAATTCATTCATTTAGTTATAAAGAAATTTTTACATAAAATGCACTAAAAACTATAAGAGTGAAGATCTGTCTGTATCACTCTCCATGTGAAGAGGATAAATATACACAACATGTTTGTGAAGAGGAAAATTAGAATCCATGACCAAGTCATCCTTCTGAAGTCAGTATTCATACCTTGAGGATACCCAACTACAGCAACTGCCTCCTGTAAATATGGGATGTCACCCAGCTCCAAGAAGTTCATGCCATCCCAAAATTCCTTGCTGTCAACAGTGAGAAGAGCTAAATCACATTCATGACCAACAGCTTGAACTTCTGCCTTGTACTTGGTTGGTGAACCATGCTTTCTTACAAGAACAAATGTGTGATCAGATACTACATGAGCGTTTGTTACAATTCGCCGGCCAGGAATCACAAATCCTGTATGATATCAGGCATATGATAAGTTTAAAGGAGCGAGTCTCAGGGAATCAGTAAATGCCAACTTTCATATGTAGCTTGATAGATATAAAAGGAAAATATGACTCATCTCCACTGCTCTAAAAAAGCTTTGCAAATTCAGAATGTAAACATAGCTGCACATTGGCCTAGCCCCCTGTTAGGGTGGAAAGGTATCAGCTGCGACCGGCATGTATTGAACATAACAAGTAAATGGAAAATTAATCAAGTCATGCCTGTGTGTATCATACCTCACCAAAGTTGTGTTTTTTTGCTTTATTTTTATTGTTTAATCATTTTTAAGATATCAATATTTTTTTATAGGTTTTGTGCTAAAGCATAGACAGTTTCATACTGGAGGATCATCACCTGACTGTGGATCAACCTGAATTTCCGAAGCATATTTCATTTCAAGGGTATCAGTACAATGATTAGTCAACCTGAATTTTGACTAATGCTTTAGCAACCAGCTTAGAAAGGTAAGATGAACTATTAATAAAAGAAAATTGAAAAAAAAACCACATTACTCTCTGAGGCGCCTTCCCTGTCAATATTGGTGAAACTATGAAGACTTGAAATTTGAATATAAGTAAACTGCATACAATCAATAAATTCAAGAATTCCACACGCTAAGCACGTAGGGACAGCAAAAGAAAACCATAACATTCTATTTCTATAATCCTCTAATTCAATCACAGCAAGTCACAAACATTTAAAGGAAACAAGCATCAAACAAGTAAACGCGAAAAGAATTTACATGCCGCAGACAAAACTAGAAGGCATCTTAAAAAACAAATACAAGAAGGAACCTTTTCCCCTCACCCGAACCCATGCTCTCCCTCTGCGCCTTGTTCTGCCACGGCAGGAAGTAGTTGGGGCTGCTCGACACCGTGAACACCTTCACGACCGAGTCGAGCGCGAGCTCGATGGCCGCGTACGCGTCGGTACACCGGTGGCTCACTGGCTCTTCGTCCACCTCGGAGATGGCGTAGGGGGAGGCATCTCCGCCAGCAACGCCCTCGAAGGGGGCGGTGGTGGAAAGGAGGGAGAAGGGGGCGAGACAGCGGGCTAGCGGGGGCAGAAGGGTAGGAGGTCGGAGGATGGGACGGGTGGTACGAGGAAGGGAGGGGCGGCACAGGGGGGGTGTCCGGCGGAGTGAGGAGAAGCGGCGGAGAGACGCGAGCATAGCGTCGGAGGCGCGGACGAAACGCGAGGGTTCCGGCGACTTCTCTGGATGCTTGTTGAGGAGATGCTATCGGATCGAATCGGATCGAATCGGGTCGGGTCGGATAAGCCTACCCGAAACGGTTGGAGTTAATGGATATAATTAACAAATAAATTATATAATTAAAGACACAAATTAAGGTTTATAATATCGAAAAAATTTACTTCAGTTGTTCAGATAATATCTTTATAATCCTCTCGATTTGAAATTATTGCACTCTTCTGTTAATTATATGCATAATTAAGTATGTTTAATGTATAATAAAAATGCAAACATTGATCTATGGATGAGTAAATGTTATTTTGTGTATTTCTAAATATAGTGGTGTGCATATTTGAAAATGTTATATGTAATTATGTAAATACCAATTGAAATACTTAATTTTGACCAATGATGAAAATTCTTGTGTCGGAATATACACTATTTATCTTATTTGACATACTAAATTGTGCTTTATTTTTTATATATATTTAATAAACTACATATC